CTTCCTTTCTTCCTTCTTTGCTATCCTACGTAGTACCTCACAATCCAAAACGGTTGCAGGAACTCCAGCCATTACACCCACAATCTAGGCTGGAAGCAGAAGGAAGTACAAAAGTACAAAAATGTTCATTCCCAGCTGAATTTAAGCAACTTTCTCACAAGCTCCTTACTACACTTCTACTATAATCTCATTGCTCAGAACTTAGTCATGGGTGTGTGGGGAGAGAGGAGCATGTGCAACTGCAATGAATATTGGGAAAGTGAGCTAGTAAATGTTGCCCCTCACACACAAGCAGAAAGAATCACAGTTATATTACTAAGAAAAAAGAGGTCAAGAAATGTTAGCTCCTTACAGGAGTGGAACAGTAATCTCTTAATTACCCTCACTCTGGCACACAGTAGGTACACAAGAATGGCTGAGAAATTCATTTCCACTGCAGATCTACCCTCAGTATGGAAAGTCCTTCTACTCGAGCTTCCCCTTCCTCCATTTATATTTTAACCTTCATCCCGTTTGTTACAGCCTTGACAAAAGTAGATTAATTTCTCGGCCACTCATTGCTTTCTAAAACCTCCTCAAATTGATTCTGAATTCATGAATTCTATTCTGAGAGATGTACCATTTGACCAAGGTCTAATTTCCAAGGCTGGTTGCATAATGAAGTCTTTGTGGATGCAAATCACTGGGGACAGCATGTTGTGGCCTCTCCATGGACTAAACCCCTCCCCAAATCTATGACAGAGGTATTCCCAAGTCCAGGCCATCCCCTCTGCCAGTCTTGAAATGTCTAGTCTTAGAACTACCAGAGAATGAATTTGCTTACGTAGCAACTTAAAAAGATGGGGGGAAGGGTCTAGCTAGCGGCATGGTGGATAGGGTGACTGCATCCCACACGGACAACTGTGTGGTTCGAGTTCTAGACATGGTGGCTTGAGAAACTAAGGTCCGTGTGTGTGTGTGCCTGTGTGTGCCCAGAACCACAGAGGAGAAATGGAAGACAAGGGATTGTAGCATGACTGTGCCCCATGTTGGGGGGTTGCTTTCTCAGAACCTCCCCCCCTTGCCTTGTCCTTCTCTAGTGAGTGTACGTGCCCTTTAGCAAAACACACACACACACACACACACACACACACACAAAGATGGGTCCCCTATCATACAACACCACCACCTGTGTTTCCCTCAAAGAAAAACAATGAGTTTAGTCACTCAAGGGTGTGATTCTTACACACGTTAGGGATGGGAGGTGGAGGGAGGAAGTCAGAATTCTTTTTCTCTGGGTAGATGGTTTAGCATTTGAAAATACAGGATGTCACTGTCCCTGAGCCCTAGGCAATCCGCATTCCTCACAGGCCTGGGAACTGTGAACGGATCTGGTTTCCAGTCCCTTTCTCCCCCATAACCTTGAAGCCCCAAGGCTTTGTTCTATTTCACACACATCCAACCTCAGCAATATGATGGATGGACCTTCACGTTGGTGGGCCCTATTCCTGCCCAGGGGCATTATTGGCAAACAGCAGAAAGTCCGTGGTGTATTAAGTGAGTGCAGAGTTATATATGTGACTTTCTAGGAGGGCTGTCCAACGTGCACGTTGCTGAGGTCTTTTGCTGCTATCTACCCACCCCCAGACTGGTTTGCTTATGGGTGAGGGTCAGGGGAGCAGTCGGACATTGCTGCTTTGTTCCCAAGAGAAAGGAATAAACTAGAGAAACCAGCCACAGCTCCTTCACTAACAGGCATCTGGACACCCTCCCTCCCCCCCAAAAAAGGATTCTGGGATGCACGGTAGTAGAAAAGGTGGGCCTGACAGTACAAACATGAAGGGAAATTCAGGTCACATGAAATCATGCCCACAAATGTTAGGAAGATAAACGACTTGATGATACATTTTGGGTTGGAAAATGGCTAAGTGTTGACATTTATCACAGCCTAGGTGGCTCCAAAACCACTAGAGGAATGGTCTTTCTAGACCAAGTGATTGCATTCCTAAACATGGCTGGACACAAACGGTCTTGGCAAGTCCTGGGCTTCAGGGCTCCCTTCCAGGTATGACTTTGGAGACTTGAGCTTAAGCCAACTACAGCACAGGGGTGAAAAGTACTTGCACTGGCTCTTACAGCCTTCATTGGTACCCAAACCTGACTCATAGTTCCCCCAATCCCTCCCTCTTTTTCCTCCTCAGTTGTTCAAACAAATAGATAATTGCGATCCCGTAGAGATCAGTGCTGTGATGGAATAGGACAGTGTCCTGCTGGAGACCACAGTGGGGCACCTTACCAGCTGTGGTGGATGAGGAGGGAAGAGAACATGATTCCAGAACCCAGAGGGGAGGAGGAAAAGGTGATAGACCTTTCAGAAGTGCATGAAACCAACATTACCCACTCTACTGTCTATTCTGAGACGGTGTACACGTTCCTAATATTTTCCATTGAGATAGAAAGTAAAAATCAAAAATTGATTTTACTGGGCTAGCAGGTGGCATGGTGGTTAAGGTGCTAGACTCTCACATGGCCAACCACGGTTCTAGTCTTGGACTTGGTGGCTTGCTTTCTCACTTTCCCTCTCTCTCTCTCTGTCTCTCTCTGGTGAGCACATGTGTCCCATAGCAAATTTAAAAGTAATAATAATAATAATACATTAAATAATAAATCATTCTTTTTTAAAAATTGTTTTTAAGCAGTGGAGTGGAGCTGCCATATAGTATGTGTTTTCATTTGGGGATGGAAACAGGTTACACTGCTCAGGACACACATTTAAGACTCTCCCTTCAGTTGCAAAAGTTCTGGTCATTGCAGATTGTGGTTTCCTTCTTACATCCTGGAATTACTGGAAAACCATCTCAGAAGTCTCCCCCTTTTTTATTTCTTGGGATGTCTCTGCTCCTCTAATGGCTTTCTGAATGTGTTTCCTACTCTTCTTGCTCCAAGCCCCTTCACCTTTCACCTTGTTCCTAAATCTGGGGCAAAATCATGGAGGAGTCACAGCAAGTGACAACCACACGCTGTGAGGTTTCAGCACCACAGACAGCTGCAAACTCAAAGAATGGGAGGTCTCAATGCCCAGAGTTTTGTATCAAGCCAGTTCCGTGGTAGGGTGTAGAATTGAGTGAAGGGAGGGATTTGCAAATGCATACACATTAAACAGGGCTGTCTGCGTGCATGCTCTCACTGTTCTTGAAGCCCATAGCTCACTCCACCTATTTTCCAGTTTTTGAGAGTGTCAATCACTGTATTAGTTTCCTAGGGCTGCCAAAACAGATGTCCACAGACTGAATGGCTTAAAACAACAGAAATGTGTTGTCCCACGGTTCTGAATGCTAGACATCCAAAATCAAGGTGTCATCAGCGTCATGCCTCCTCTGAACTCTGCAGGGGAGAATCATTTCTTGGCTTTTCTTGCTTCTGGTGATAATTGGCAATCCTTGGCATTCCTTGGCTTATAAATACCTTACAAGTGCTTATAAATGATGTCCTTGACCATCTTCTCCCTGTGTGTGTCTCTCTCTTCTTATTATAAGGACACAGTCATACTGGGTTAAAGGCCAACCTACTCCAGTGTATGTATGTATATACACACATACATATATATATATACATATATATATACATATATATATATATGTATATATATATGTATATATACTTGCCACTGGGCACATGTACTCACCAGAGATAGACAGAGACAGTCAGAGAGAGGGAAACCAAGAAATCAGCCCTCCGGAGGATGACTACAACACAATCCCCTCTCCTCCATTCTCCTCTCAGGGTTTTGAGTACATGATTTTCAAGCTGCCAGGTCCAGGACTTGAACTGCAGTTGACCCTGTGGGAGTCCAGAGCTTTAACAGCCATGCCACCTGCTGGCCCAACATCTCTTCTTCTTAGCTTAACTAATTACATCTATAGCAACCGTATTTCCAAATAACGTCACATTCTGAGGTGTTGAGGATATTAGGACTTCAACATATCTTTTGGGAGGATACAGCTCAACCCCTAACAGTCAGGTGTGAATAAGTATTTCTACACTATATAAAAATCAATACTAGTAAGTGTGAAAATCAAAATCAACTGATGCAATAAGAAGTCATGGGAGCCACAAGAATTTAGGGAGCACACACCAGCCCAGGCCACAGTCACCTGCAGCAGGGATGAGGACCGTACAGGGAGGTCTGGGTTTTATGTGAAACCTTCCTGATCTGAAAGGTTGCTGTCCACATCGAATCAAATCAAACATGTGTGTGAGTTGGTCTTAGCCTGTGGGCTGCCAGTTTAAAAATTCGGTCCTATGGAGATGAGAGGGTTTCCCAAACAAGATGATTTCTTCTTGGAATTGGAAATAGCTCTCTCTGGCTGCAGTAGTGTTTTTTGTTTTGGTTTTTGTTTTGGTTTGTTTGTTTGTTTGTTTTTAGTTTAGTTTTGTTTTTTTCCATAGAGTGCATGTGCTGGCCAAAGAGGAGAGCGACAGAGAGAGGCAAAGTGAGAAATCAACCCCAAAAGGGAATGGCCACACCACAATCCCTTCTCCTCCAGTCTCCTCTTGGAATGTTGAGCACACATGTACATGTTCCCAGTGTGATTTTCAAGCCACCAGGTCCAGGACTTGAACCACAGTCAACTATGTGTGAATCCAGCACCTTCACCACAATCCCCACCTACTGGCTCCAGGCTGCAGTGGAGTTTAAGGTGGGGAATGGAAGAAAGATGAAAAAGGAGAAAGAGAAGCCAGATCTGGGAAGGTGTCATAAGTCATGTGGAGGAATGTAGACACTGCCAAAAGAAAAATGGAGATCCATTGATGGGAGGGTGGGAGGAGGGTGGCATGGTCAGATTTACACTCTACCAAACACTATGGGCCACCTTTTCTGGACCCCGATCACATCCCTCTCCTACTCCCTGACACTCAGAAGCAGAGGCAATGCCAGCCTGGAGGCTAGGCAGTGCCCTCCATGGTCCTGTCTCAAGGACATCCTCTAGTTAAGGGTTAACTTGTCTTCTCCTCATCAGATCTTCAGAAACTCCTAGAGATGGTTCGAGAAGATGCCCGGAGGACAATCATGACAGAAAATGGGATGCAAAAAAAAGCACCCAGGTACGTTCTCCTGACTCCTCGGTCTCAGAGAGGCTATGAGAGTAGTGGTGATAACGTTAACAATAGCCGTGACCAGCCACGGAGCATTTTCTCTGTGACAGGCACTAACAGGCACTCTGTTCGTATCTCACCTCCATGAGTTTCTTACATCGATCCTAGGAGGTGAGCTATTATCTGTATGTTACAAATCAAGAAATGTGGCTCAGAGAGGCTAAGTGACTTTCTCGGGATCTCTTAGCTAGAGAATGATAAGGTCATGACTCAAATCCAGATCTTTCCAGTTCCAAGGCCATTCTCTTAACCACTTTGCCACATGGCCTCTTGGAAATCCTATGGTTAATCATTCATTCTTTAAATAAATAATTATGAATATGTATGACCTGTGTACTAATTATTACCGTGACAAGCATTACGAAAGAAAAACTCCAAGCTGTGAGGACAAATAATAGGGATATTTGATCTAGTCTGGGATGGGGATGAGAATCAGAGAAGTTTTCTCCAAGAAGGGAACTTTCTTAAAGTTTGTTTCTTTCTTCCATAAGTGAGAGATCAGAGACAGAGATGGAGAAACAGTCAGCCCCAAAACAGCGTTTCCATGCCATGATCCACTCCCAGCTGCAGGCAGCCCTGGATCATGGGCAAGTGAGTGTCTGGTGTGTTCAGGGAGGACTCCAGATGCAAACCTGGACCGTTCTCATGTTGCTCAGCCTCACAGAACACTGCATCAGCACTGCACTATCTCCCAGCCCCTCCAAAGAAGAAACTTTAAACTGATGGTGGAATACAGCATGAAAAAAAGTTAACCTGCAAAACTTAACAGGGGGTGCAGACAGGAAGTGGGGGAAGTATTACAGGAAACATGAACAAGCTTAGACAGAGGGACCGTGGCACTTTCAAGGATCTGAAATGCAGCTAGAATGGGATAAGTTGGTCTGGAGACATTTGAGGCCAAGTCAAGGAGTCTGGTTTTGGGCCTAAGAGCAACAAGAACCCTCTGAAGTTTCAAGTTGGAGACCAACATGGCCGTCTCACAAGGAATCCATGTTAGACTAGACCACAAGGTGTTCTCCTGGTAGGAAGCACTGTCCACCAGACTTCCGACTTCTAGAAGCCTCAGAGAGCATGCAGGCTACAGCCTGAGTTCTCTTCCTGAGTGTGGACCCCTCTGAGTAAGCAAATTACTTCCTGAAAATAAATGAGGCACTGGAAGAGGTTCATCATCGCCTTCAGCCTACTGGGATGCTGGCTATGACTTATTGGTTATTGTTATTACCGTAATTACAGTTCACCAAGCGCTTTCACATGCATCACGCCCTGCCTCTGCTTGTTAATGATGAATTTGTCTGCTGCGGCCTCAACTCACATCCGGGATGGGAAAGGTGGCGCTCAGAAGAGGCACGCAGGAGCAATGGCCCATGAGGCCCCCACTGCTGTGTCTGATTATCTGCGTTAGAGACAGACAATGGTGATGAAGCTGCAGCTCAATGAGGCTCCTTTCCTGAGAACTCATAGCATGCACACTGGCTTCTGGGCCAGACAAATGTGGGTCCAAACCCTCAAGTCCCTGAACAAGTCACTTACCCTGTCTCTAAACCTCAAACGAGACTGTAGCATCAAAGCATTGGCTTTGTACCCAAATAGACTAGGGTCGATCTCCAGCATGTAACTGCTGTGTGACATTGGGCAAGTTACTTCACCTCTCTGAGTCTAACTGTGTAGAATGAAGCTCATTGGCAAACCATCTCAAATGTTTGTGATTGGGATTAAATGGTATTATCCTTGTAAAGTATTAGTAATGTTACAGAGATATGATCTACTTTAATGAGTCATTTTAATCATTTAGTGAGACAGGAGTTTCTTTAACATATTAGCATCTAGAAAATACTCAGTAAATGGCAGTGAGGGTGGGGTGGAGATGGTGGTGGGGATGGCTGTGACTTTTATTTCGCACGTAGTGCCGCCATGGAATCTTCACAGCACCTTTCTGGGACCCATACATAAGCCGTGACCGTCACCCCATCTCATCAATGATGAAGAACAGCCAAGAGAGACTTCTAAAAAGTCTTCAAAGACAGAATCACATCGGAACCTGGTTCCCATGAGGCTTGCCACGTGGCCTCTACTTTCAATTTAATGATAAAATAACCATGGCTACAGAGCAAGAACCTGTTGAAATTTCCTTTCCTCATTAATTCCTCTGGGAGAAAAAAAAAAATCTCCCTAATCTCGCACTCAGGCAGCAGGCATGAGAAGCTTCACTGTGGAGCTGCAGAGAGACGGCTGAGAAAGGCTGCAAGTTTTCTCTTTCTACCTCACTTTAGAACTCGAATTCCCTTCTCATTCTAGACCCTGAATCTGCTCCCATCAAGGCTGACAGAGACTCTTGGGGTTTTAGGAACCCATAAAAGCCACCCCATCCATACCCCCAGCCTCAAAGCCAGACTGTCCCCTAGTCATCAAAGAGGATGACTTAAAAAATAAATTTAAAAAATTTTAATCCTCTAAGCAGTGTTTCCAAAATGTCCCCAAAGATCAGAAATAACTTGGGGTATTTATGAAAAATACAAAATTTCAGACCTCATCCCAGACCCACAGGCAACTTTTTTTTTTCTTTTTTCTTTTCTTTTCTTTTTGATTTTTTTCTTTTATGGTTTCTACTATACAGCACATGTACTCACCAGAGAGAGGGACATCCCCCAGGGGGCATGGCCACACTGCAATCCCTTCTCCTCCATTCTCCCCTCAGGATCTTGGACACATACACATGCTCAGGGTGATTTTTAAGCCACCAGGACCAGAACTCAAACCATGATTGGCCATATGGGAATGCAGTGTCTTAACCATCATGTTCACCTGTTGGCCCCAACAACGATATTTAAAATTTTTTTAATTAATAAAAAGACATTAATTTATTTATTTATCCATTTACATGTTGTGATTTTCAAGCCACCAGGTCTTAAACCATGGTTGGCCATGTGCGACTTCAGCACCTTAACCACCATATTCTTTTTTTTAACAAGCACTTCAAATAGGCATTATTCCACAGTGTTTCACGGTGTACTGGGGAATTCTGGGTGAGTGTATAGTTTTAAACACAGATTCTGGGGCCCCACTCCAGGCTCAATGTATCCAGACCTCCAGAAGTGTGGCTTTGGAATCTGTATTCTGAGCAAGCTCTCCAGGTGATTCCTAGACCCAGGAGGGTCTGAAGATCTCTGCTCTAAAGAGAGGAGCTCCCATACCTCCCAACCCCATCTCTAGCTATCTACTGTCATAGGAGAATCACGTATCCGTGCCTTGTTAAAAGATGCATTTGCTTTGCAGCATCCTGTCAGTGCTCAAGCAAAACAAGAGTGATTCTGTCACGAAGAATCCCCAGACCACCCATAAATCAAGGTAGGAAGGCCCACAACAGGTGGGTCCAGAGGCACCCCACTCACAGCTGCAGGGGCCACCACAGAGATGCTCCTCATCAAATCCTGGAGCATCAAGCAGGGAAATAGGGGCACATGGTCCTTCTCACTGGAAACAAGCCCCTTCACTCTGGAAGGGTTGGGTGTGGGTCCCAGGCATTCTTCCTCAACATTTATTTACCCTGAGGTTAAAATCTTACAGTCGCAGGGCTGGAAGACGGCACAGTGGTGGCGTGTGATGTTCTGCAAGGCAGACCCATGTGGGAAGGGTCTAGATTTGCATCCAGAGACCTCCCTGAAAACACAGCACATGTGCATGCTCAAGATCCCAGCTGGCTGAGGTTGGGGGGTGGATCACGGTGCCAAGACTCTGTTGGAAATCCTATCTCTCTGTCTCTTTCTGTCTGTGTCTCTCATGCTCATGGAAGACATAATTTAAAAATGATTGGGCCAGCCCATGACATGGTGGTTAGGGCAGCTAGATCATACATGACCAACTGCACAGTTCTAGTACCAGGTCCAGTGGCTTGAGAACCACTCTGGGCATATGTATATGCATGCCCAAAGTCCCCAAAGGAGGGAGAGATGGAGGAGAAGGGATTGTGGCACGGCCATGCCTCATGTGGGGTGCTTTTTCACATATTCTTTCTCTCTCCCTTTCTCTCTCTCTGTGTCTCTATATGTCTCTCTCTCTGGTGAGCACACGCACCCTCTAGTAAAATTTTTTAAATGACTACTAAAAAACCTATGGTAATGTAGATTACTATATTACAACCAAATTTAGTATATAGCAATCTACGAGCTTCTTCAATAATGCATAACATAACATGACTTAGCAGCAGCTCTAGTTACTACTGTAGTTTTGAATTCATGTTGAGTATAAATGATTTTACAAAATATCTCCCATAACTGTAATGTGAGATGCAAATGCCCGCGATTTCCATTTTGGTTGAGCACTATTTGAAATGAAGATGTAACTTTCTTCCCAATCTGCAGACATGGGCCCTTCAGTTCTCCCCATGCTTGAGAATGACTGCTCTCAGGGAGAGTTAAGTCCTCTCTAATAATCCCATGGTTAGCTGTACAGCCACCCCTGAAAGGGTCCTAAAGGACAAGTAGGGAGGGTCGGGTACACCTTACCAGCAGGCCCCTCACCAAGACTGAGATCAACACTTAAGCTGACACCTGACGAGCAAAGGATTGGCACCTTTGAGGTGGAGATACTATTCCAAGCAGTATGAATGGCGTGTGCAAAGGGCTTGAGACAGGATGAAGCTTAGAAGCACTGAGAAAAGACCGGCATGGCCAGAACTTCCCCAGGGAAGGGGGAATTGAGACAGGCAGAAGCACCACCAGCTAGCATCACCCCTTCCCTCACCTACCTCTTGCCCTGCAAGAAAGAAAGCCCATCTACAGGAGGGAGGTCGGCACCAACATGGTCCCCCACTGGATCCATCTGCAGGGATAGGAGCAGCTGGCTGGCACCCAAAAGCAGGGCCTTCTGGATATTGTTAGTGGAGCCCTGCATCCCGGCCGAGTGGGTAAGGGCATATCCTATCCCCTGCTGGGACTCAGACGCCTAGTCCAGTCCCAGGAGTGTCTAGAACAAGCAGCGAAGGCCAGCGCCTTTCCTATAGAGAGGTCTGGGAAACGGCAAGGCCTGTCAGCCTGCAGAAGTCCCAAATGCCACGGGGTCAGAAGGGAAAGGCCAGCCACACGTTATTGGAATAATGAAACAGTCTTAGCTGCTGGAACCACACCGATAAAGTGCTCAAGTCAGTTTTCCAAGCATCTGGGAGAAACAAGGGTAGACAGGGAGAGAAAGGAAGGCTGGACAGTGTCACTGAAGGTCCAGGTCACGAAAGGAAGACCAGAAACAAAGGTATAAGGAGGGGACAAGCATGAACAGGTGCCTTTACACACCCACACACATCAGGACCCCTACCCGCACAGAGGCACAGGAGGGAGCAGCCACGCAAGGATCCCACAAGTCCACATGGGATTTAAAGGTTCCGACAGTGTGAAGAGTTGACTGGTCATCGCAAGGAAATAGACATCAGGAGGGAGTTGCTTGCCCATAGACTAGGAGGTAATGCTGCTGGGTTGGACTCTGAATCTAGCTTTGTCTGCCTCCAAGGTAGAGTAAATTGAGTTTTCAACACCAGGGTCCAGCGTAAAGAAGAGAATCCTTGAATGCAAATGCAGTCTGGGGGCCCTGGCAGGTGGCGTGGTGGTTAAGGGCACTGGACTCCCACACGGTCAACTCTACTTTGAGTCCCAAACCTGGCGGCTTGCTTTCTCACTGTCCCTCTCTCTCTCTCTCTCTGGTCAAATAGAAAGAAAGAAAGAAAGAAAGAAAGAAAGAAAGAAAGAAAGAAAGAAAGAAAGAAAGAAAGAAAGAAAGAAAGAAAGAAAGAAAGAAAGA